CCTCCCCTCCAGCGCCCCCACCCCTCGGCTCCTATTTCTTTCAGGTGGCCGACCGCGTGGCCCCGGGTTGGGCGGGGGAAGGCGTATCCCCCCCTTCCACCGGCAACGCCATGGCAACGTCGCACGCGGCTCAGTGCCCTGGTATGAGGAATTGATCGTCCAGTCGTTCTCTCGACGCGCGGGGTATCTGCGCCGGGTGACGTCAGAAGCTATATCAAGTTAAGGAAAGAGAGGGTTTTGAGCCAGCGCTGGCGCTGGCGCTGGAAGGTGAGGGGCAGGGAGGCGGTCGCGCTCAAGCTGGCTTAAGCCAGACGCAGCGATACCCCTCCCTGCCCCACACCTTCCAGCGCCAGCGCCAGCGCTGGCTCAAAACCTTCTCCTTTCTTAACTTGATATAGCTAGAGCTGCGAACATCGTCCTTCTGCAGTCATCGCCGCACCGGGGACGCAGTGACCGGTGCGCACCGACAGGTAAGGTATGGCAGTCCAGTCCTGGCCTCGTAAATCGCACGTGTGGAAGGCCCTGGCAGTCGCTCACCGACGAGGCACTTGTGTGAAGGACAATGTGTTCGGTTTCAAATCTGGGAGGCATTTCCGCAGGCAGTCTGCAAGTGTGTGAGTATGCGCCGCCATAAGAGGCAACGACGACGCAGCAGTCCGCGAGATGTTGCCTATCACTTGCTTCACAGGCGCTATCCAGCAAAAGGGCACTGGTTACAAAGAGATGCTCTGGCCAGCCTTCCCCACGCACTGACGCAGCGGCACTTGCCTCGCCTGCACTGCACAACGAGACATGACTGGTTCGCCGCGTTGCGCACTGCCATGAGAGGCAAGTTCACAGGCGAGATAGGCATCACAAACATAATGTGGGTTTCGTGTTTCCTACCGCCAAGGTCGCGGCTTCACCGATCCCCCGGGTGCGCGCAAAACCATCATCCCGGTTTCAAGCTTGGGATGCTTTTCCCCAGGCAGTCTGCAAGTGTGTGAGTAACAATGCGCCGCCATAAGAGGCAACGACGACGCAGCAGTCCGCGAGAGGCTGCCTATCTACTTGCTTCACAGGCGCTAGACCCAGCAAAAGCGCACCCCCAGGAGGCTTCTCCCCAGGCAGTCTGCAAGTTTGTGAGTAACAATGAGCCGCCATAAGAGGCAACGACCTTCCCCAGACGAGAGTGCGTGTGTATCCTGCTCGCCAACGGCCCTTCACGGAGCCAGGGAAGCTCGGACCAGGGGTCGTCAAATCATTAAGGATATCTCTAGGCGTACTGTTTTCACATTGTGAGCTAATTTATTTAATACGTGGAACGCCTTCCCATGACCCCCTCCGATTTTGACCAAAATTTTTTTCTGAGATGCCCTTATGGTAAGAAAAAACATCCTAAAATATTAGGTCGCTAAAAAATTTATTGGCCGAGAAAACCAATGTTTTCTAAATTTGCCACTTTTTTTTACTTAATTTGGGAGTTTCTTTACTACTCTGAGGTTTTTGGTGCTAAGTGGCTGAAAATTCATATCCTTATGTAAAATTGCCCAAGGAACAAGAATATGGTCACAGATTTGACCTACGACCGATATCTTGAGAAATACGTACCCAAAACGACCAAATTTTACTAAAAATACCCAAATTTTTGGGGAAACGGTCAAAAATATTCTTTATCCACGATCCGTTGACGCCATCTTGTAGAAAAAGAGCTAATAAAGCCAATGAGCACACGCCCATGTTTGTAGCTCAAACCGTTTAGAAGCTGTAAGGCGTCAAAGTTGGAGGTTTTTTGAGGGGGCCTGAAAACCGGCCCTTTTGACCTCTGCGCTCAATGTCCGACACCCGAGCCGTGCCAGCCATGATCCTTGCTTTCGAGGTGAGGTCTGCGTGCGCAATGGGAGTCAAGAAGAGGGTGAAGCGGCACAGCGTTTCTGAACAGGGTCCTCTTCAGAGCGCCTGAACAGCCGAGGGTTGGTAAGCTCACCAAACGGTGCTTGGAAAGCACTCGCCGCACCGTGGCACAGTGGGCTGAGAAGCAAAAAAAAACCGATAAAAATTCAAGGAGGGAGGAATCGACGTCAAAATCGCTACTCGAGGGTTTTTGGGTCCGAGAAACTCAAATCTGACAAAATCAAAACCCGAAAATGACCGGCAGAGGCGGATCCAGCAATATTGGGAGGGGGGTGGGCAGTCACTCTTAAAATGCGTCCCTGATGAGTTTGGGTCCCAGAAACTCATATCTGACAAAATTCGAAACCAGAAAACGACCAGCGACAGAAGCCAGCCGGCCGGTCAGCCCAGGCAGGAAACAAAACTTGTCATATTTGACTGCGATTTTCTCAAAACGCGGAACAGAGCGGAACAAACGGCGAAAAGGGCCGTAAAGAAGAGATGCTGCTCTTTTACCTCCATCGGACAGATCGGTTCGCAAACTTTCGCAACTCAACTTATCGCCTCGCAAAAAATGGAAATTCGTCGATTTTGCAACATCTTTGACGGCGTTGTTCTTTAACCCGGTTGAACCAATAATAAACATATGATATTGTGCTGATTTGTGAGGTTTTTAGCTTTCCAAAAAACATATAACATGTAGCAGTTATGTGGAATAAACCGACCCTCAGAGGGAAAATTGCAGACAATTGTAGAAATGTGTGAAGAAATAGTTCAAAATGTGTCATGTTTGGCGCCCTGCACAGGGTTACGCGTGTGATATATTTTCAAACGGACTCTTCTCACGGATAGGGCATGCTTTTCATATGGACATGTCCAGGGGTCGGAAACGGCCTAGGGAGCGCGTGAGCCCATGCGCCCCACCGCTGCCGACGCGCCGCGCGCGGCGGACCGCTCTGCACGGCGGTACTAAAATCGACAGAACTTTGTCAAAACTTCATCAAATCGATCAAACGAGGTCATTTTTGGATTCTACACAAAATTTCCTATCGATTACAAACAATGGTTTAGCGTTTCAAGTGTTTAAAACACGTTATTTTTCAATTATAAGTCAATTTTACCGGCAACCGACAGCCGACTTGATAATTCTCATTCGCTTAAAAAGCGATTTCTGTTTGTTTTAGGTCCATACATGCAGCGAGCCGATTGTTGGCCATAGTTTACCCTGTGGCGTGGTGTGTTTGGAATGTTGATACGACCTCAGGGGCGACCACAGTGATCCAAAACGTAACTTGGACATTTGGTACAAAATTGGTTTTTGCAACTTTGGAGGTTAAAAGCACAGCTTGTAAAAGCGCGTTAGTCATGTTCTATACGCCTAAGCCACCCAGAATTTTATTCTCTATCGCCCTGTGGTAAGGGTTTTGCGAAAGGAGATCAAACTTCAGATATCTCGCAAAAGTTCCGAAACACTACGAAAACGCCGTAACAGTACAAGCAAACGGGGGAGCTTAATGCAAACAAACTATAGCTCAGATTGAAAATCTGACACCACCACGTTGTAGCGCGGACAATTTTACAAGCCATAGTCTATGCTCATCGCAATCGGACCATCGGTTTGAACGTAGCGAGCAAATCTCTTAATCCCTGTTCAGCGCGCCGCCACAGTAATTTCTCATACTGCCGCCGCCTGACCAAACCCGACGTTAAATCTGTCTTTTAGAATATATACTGCTGTTTTTTAAACCGATGGTCCCATTGCGATGAGCTTAGACTATGGCTTGTAAAATTGTCCGCGCTACAACGTGGTGGTGTCAGATTTTCAATCCGAGCTATAGTTTGTTTACATTAAGCTCCCCGTTTGCTTGTACTGTTACGGCGTTTTTCGTAGTGTTTCGGAACTTTTGCGAGATATCTAAAGTTTGATCTCCTTTCGCAAAACCCTTACCACAGGGCGATAGAGAATAAAATTCTGGGTGGCTTAGGCGTATAGAACATGACAAACGCGCTTTTACAAGCTGTGCTTTTAACCTCCAAAGTTGCAAAAACCAATTTTGTACCAAATGTCCAAGTTACGTTTTGGATCACTGTGGTCGCCCCAGAGGTCGTATCAACATTCCAAACACACCACGCCACAGGGTAAACTATGGCCAACAATCGGCTCGCTGCATGTATGGACCTAAAACAAACAGAAATCACTTTTTAAGCGAATGAGAAATATCAAGTCGGCTGTCGGTTGCCGGTAAAATTGACTTTTAATTGAAAAATAACGTGTTTTTTAAAAACTTGAAACGCTAAACCATTGTCTGTAATCGATAGGAAACTTTGTGTAGAATCCAAAATTGACCTCGTTTGATCGATTTGATGAAGTGTTGACAAAGTTCTGTCGATTTTAGTACCGCCGTGCAAAGCGGTCCGCCGCGCGCGGCGCGTCGGCAGCGGTGGGGCGCATGGGCTCACGCGCTCCCTAGGCCGTTTCCGACCCCTGACATGTCACAGTTGTTTTGACCCTGCTGTTCAATTTTCAAACTGCCCTTTATTATCGCTTTCTTTCGCTTCTCAGCCCACTGTGCGTGGGCTCGCTCAAAGGGCCCCG